GAGACGTCCTTTTACGTTGCGCCCCGTGGCCCGTCATGTGTCCCCCAAGCGCCTGCGACGTGGGGAAGTTTTTGCCGCAGATAGGACAAGAATACTCGCCCGACCTCTGCCCCGGCATGCCCGGGAGATGGTCCAAGGGAAGCTGAGCTGGAGGGCGGGCGGCAGCACGAGGCGGGGCGTTGAAACCAGCACCAGATGAAACTGAAACGGTCCCACCACCAGCACCATCACCATCACCACCAGCAGCCATTAAACCTGCAGCAGTGAAACGTTGCTGGCAGGGAAGTAGCAGCCTTAGTAGGCTGGGAAAACGAGGATAGAGTGCTCTCTGAAGTTCTCTGGAAATTGCACTATGACTTCACAAATTTCACAGTACAATTTTATAGAGCACATTCAAATATCGAGTCGCACTCCCAAGTCGCAACTCTCTCTGAATTTCTCAATGGTAACCCAACCCCTTTGAAATGAACCTGCCGTGAAATTCAGAGAATTATTGCGGTACGGGATTGGACGGCGAGCTTGGTTACGGGGCTGTAATTTCGTCGGTGTTGTTGGCGAAGTCGGCGAGCGGTCAGAACTTCGGTGTTCTGCGTTTCGTAATTTTCGCGCGAGGGTTTGTGTTGGGCTGCGCGTCAGGACCTGGTCGCCCAGCTGCAGGTTGAGGCGTTTGACCAATACGAACAGTTGGTGAGGTGGCGCTTGACTTCCGCCCACCTGTTGTGTACTTGGCAGCATTCGGCTGCCACACTGTTACATTACTTCCCCCTCCAAGTGGCGCCGTCCACAGCGCCAAACCGTGGCTGGTCAAATACCGATTCACAGCAGTTGCGGCACGGTCAAGGTGGCTCTTTGGTTCCCATGAGTCGTCACTAGTGGGCTGGTCCTTCCAATGAACAAGAAACTCGCGACCATGAGGTGTGTCGCGATGTGCAGCGATAGATGCAACCTCAAACAGGCCGGGGCTGCCATCGAACATTGGTGGCAGTTGGCGTGTGGCTGGACGGTCGTGTGAAGGTGCACGGAAAGGGCGGAGGCGCTGGACATGGAAGACGGGGTGAATCTTCATATAGCTGGGCAGTTGGAGACGGTAGGTGACTGGTGAGAGGACTCGGGTGATAGTGAACGGGCCAATAAAGCGAGGGGCGAGTTTTTTGGTTGTGCCTTTGCGTAGGAGAGGTAGGTGGTCAGTGGAGAGTAACACTTGATCGCCAACCTTGAAGCGTATATATTTGCGGTGGGAGTTGGCATAGTGGGTCTGTTTGGCTTGAGCTTTAAGGATGGAGGTGCGAGTGGCATCAATGGCTGATTCGAGTGAGGTGAGGAACTCAAAGGCTGCTGGTGCGTGGGAGAGGTGGGGGGGTGGGGTCGTGGGGAGGCGGGGGTGCTGTCCGGTTGCGAGGTAGAAGGGTGGCTGGCTGGTGGAAAGGTGGGGTGTGCTGTTGTATGCGAGTTCGATGGCGGTGAGGTGGAGATCCCAATCAGTTTGGCGAGCAGTAACTTGTGCACGGAGGGAGTCTTCAAGCGTGCGGTTCATCCGTTCGGTTTGTCCGTCCGTTTCAGGGTGATACGCGGTAGAAAACTTCAGCCGGGTTCTGTGAAGCTTGAAGAGGCTCTGCCAAAAGTTACTCAAGAAGCGGGGGTCACGGTCTGAAATGATGGCGGATGGGAGACCATGTAGGCGGACAATGTGATCGAAGAAGAGTCGGGCTGTTTCGGGTGCGGTGACGGTTGTGTGGGTAGGAATGAAGTGGCTCATTTTGGAGAGTCGGTCGACGACGACTAGGATAGCGTTGTAGCTGCGGGGTGTGCGGGGCAGATCCATGATGAAGTCCATGGTGACTTCATCCGACACTTTGGTAGGTGGAGGGATGGGCTGAAGGAGTCCGTAGCGGTTGGTGGTGCGTGCTTTGAGTTGTTGGCAGGTGTGGCAGGTGCGTATGAAGTCACGCACATCAGCATGCATGCGTGGCCAATGGTAGTCGTTGGAGAGGCGTGCGTAGGTCTTCTCAACACCAAAGTGGCTGCCGGTAACGGTGTCGTGGTATTCGGAGAGTAGCAGCTGTCGTAAAGAGCGATTTGCAGGGACACTAATGGTCTTGGTGACGGTGTTGTACCAAAATGGGTCTTCAAATGAGTAGGCCGGGTCCTCGGGTGCTTGCTTGACAAAAAACAGGTCACGTTTGTAGGCGCGCTGAAATTTCGTGATGAAGGTATCATCCCAAGTGATGCTGCTGATTCCATGGAGTTGCAAGGGTGGGTTCGGAGTGTGAGGTGGAGGTGATGAGGTGGGGCTGGTTGGGGAGTGGTGGAGCTGGTTGGTGGTTGGTTTGGGCTGGTCGGTGGGTGGTGGGGCTGGTGGTGGTGGTCGGGACAAGATGTCGGCTGGGTTGAGTTTTCCGGGGCGGTAGATAATTTGAAGCGAGAGTACGAACTGCTCCAAAAACTCAGCCCATCGGGCTTGGCGGCAGCTGAGCACGGGCTGTGTTTTCAAGTGTTGAAGAGGGCGGTGGTCGGTGTAGACGGTGACGGGCTGCAGCTCCACGTAACAGCGCCATGTGTTGATTGCGTGGACAATGGCAAGGAGCTCCCGATCGTGTGTTGCGTAGTTGCGCTCTGCCGGTTGAAGCTTGCGTGACTCGAAAGCGAGTGGCTGCATCCCATGGCCGTGGTCTTGGCAAAGAATGGCACCGACAGCGACATCGGAAGCATCGGTCCATATGAAGTATGGGCGTGAAGGGTCGGCGATGGTGAGGACCGGTGCAGAGGTGAGTGCTGATTTGATTGAGTTGAAAGCGGTCTGCTGCGGTAGTCCCCATTGAAAGGCAGCTCCTTGACGGAAGAGATCGGTCAAAGGGGCGCAGATGTGAGAAAAGTTGAAAATGAATTTCCGGTAATGCTTGGCGAGGCCGATGAAACTTTGCAGCTCCGCTACCGTGCGTGGGGCTGGCCAATCAGCAAGGCACTGGACCTTTGCGGGGTCCATAGCAATGCCTTTGGAGCTGATGACATGGCCGAGAAAGCCGATGCTTGAACGGGCGAAGGTGCACTTGGAGAGGTTGGCGTAGAGGCGGTGTTGGCGAAGCGTGTCGAGGACGATGCGTAGGTGCTGAGCGTGTTCCTCGAGTGACTTGCTGAAAATGAGGATGTCATCGAGGAACACGATGACAAAGCGGTCGAGGAAGGGCCGAAAAATGTCGTTCATGAGTCCCATGAACGTGGCTGGTGCGTTGGTGAGGCCGAACGGAAGTACGCGGAACTCGAAGTGGCCGTAGCGGGTTCGAAACGCCGTCTTGTTGATGTCGTCTTCGGCGAGCCGGATCTGGTGGTAACCGGAGCGTAGGTCGAGCTTGCTGAAAACTGTTGCTTCCCCAAGCATGTCGAACAACTCCTCGACACGGGGCAGCGGGTACTTATTCTTGATTGTGATGGCGTTGAGGGCGCGGTAGTTGATGCAAAGGCGCAGGTCACCTTCCTTCTTGCGGGTGAAAAGCACGGGGGCAGCGTATGGTGAGGTGCTTGGGCGGATGAAACCCTTCTCGAGAAGGTCATCGAGTTGACGTTGGAGCTCCAAAAGTTCAGCGGTGCTCATGCAATAGGTTGGGCGCACGGGCGGTGTAGAACCTGGAATGAGGCGGATGCTATGGTCAATAGCACGCTCGGGTGGAAGTTCGGCGGGAAGATCTTCGGGGAAGACGTCGGTGTAGCCTTGGAGTAACTTCTGTATAGGTGATGGGAGAGAGTTGGGTGATGGTTCAGATTCGGGAGCGGTGAAGTTGACTAGGAGATGATGAGGAGGAGGTGGTGATGGAGGGATGGGGGCTGATGGATTGATAACTTCAGAGGCGGGGCGGATGATGGGACGTCGTGGCTGCTGGGTTGGGTGGGGTGGAGAAGGAGGAGGTGTGTTGATCACTTCGGGGGAGCCGGGTGGTGTTGGCTGCTGCACGGGAGCTATGCAAGGAGGAGGGAGAGGGGGGATATGGGAAGATGGAGATGGGGCAGGTTGGGGTGGATGGGTTGATGAAGCGGAACTGGTTGGGGATGACCATGGTCGGCGAAAGGAGTGGGATGGGAGGTTGTAGTTGCCGACGGTGACAGTTCCGTTGCGCCAATAAATCCGCGGTCCAAACTGGTGCAACCATGGTCGACCGATAATGCCTTCGTACCCGCCGAGGTGCAGTTGCTCGAACGTGACCGTTGCCTCCAAGCTTCCAAACATGCAATGCACAGGGAGGAGAGTAGGTCCGCAGCGCCGCCGAGTACCATCTGCCATGATCACGTCCTGCGGGTTGCTGTTGGGATCTTCGGGGAGAGAAAGTTCAGCAGCAATTGAGGGAGAGAGGAAATTTGCTGAAGCGCCGGTACCGTATGGCCCCGGATATAAGCGCAGGCCTATTATAAACGCATGCGCTTGTATCTGGAGCAATGCGCTTATGGCCGATCCTCATTTATAAGCGCACCCCCTGTAAAACCTTGATTTATTATAAGCGCGCGTATAATTCTAAAATTTAAACCAGATAAAAACGGTAGCGATTTCAAATTTTGCAGTGAAGATACAACTATTTTCGCTTCGATTGACTTTCGAGGACCTCACATACTGCGCGTCCAGTCAGTATGAGCTGGCATTTCTGATAGTGACGTGGAAATTTTCCTCTGTGCGCCGGCAGAAAATCGCTCACGCGCGAATCTGAATTGCGACTCGCTACCACTTCGATTCGATTGAAATCACAAGAAGGATATGTACAGTTTGGTGCCAATGAATTATAAATCTGCATTTGTTATTATATAAGCGCATGCGCTTATAAATCTGACTCAATTATAAGCGCACCCCCCCAAAAAACACTGTTTTATTATAAGCGCAGGTGCGCTTATATCCGGGGTATTACGGTATCGAGCAAAAAGTCAACGTAGCGATTCTTTATTTTTGCGTATAGAATGATGGCGGGGAATGGAGCGTTGGATGTGGTTGAATAATGGAGTCGGGAGAAGCGGGGCATGCGATGCGCAAGAGGTCTGCCCCACTGCTACTGGCGCTGTCCGTTTCCCGGAGACCTTTCGAAGTTGCGGCGGTTCGGGCAATGTCGCTTGATGTGGCCGACTTTCCCGCACGAGTAGCACGTAAGCGTGGACTGGTTGCGTGCACGCTGTTCCACCACACCGGGCTCTATGGGAGAAGGACCGTTGGTGCGGTAGGTAGGTCCAGCAGTGGTGTGTTGCCCGGTTCGTCCTTGGAATCGCTGGTATGCTGCAAAGTTGATGGTGTCAAAACGCTCGGCGACACGAATCATCTCATCCAACGTCGTAGCGCCGCGGAGTTCGACCTCGGTGCGGATTTTCGGCTTCAGCCCACGCTTGAATTTGTCCATCTGTTCAGCAGCAGGGATGTGAGGGATCTCAAGCACGAGCTCGCGGAAGCGGTTGATGTACTCAGCGACCGAGCGATGTTGGCGTAATTCAGCGAGGTTGTCACGTGTGCGCTCGATGGAGTTGACCGGCTCGAAGTTCATTAATAGCGATGCAGAAAACTCTTCCCAAGTTGAAATCGTAGCATGGAAACTCTGCCACCAAGTAGCAGCTGCACCTCTCAGCATCATGCCGGCGTGTCGAGCCCACTCCGCCCGTTTGACATGACAAATGGAGAGGTATTCCTCCACTTGGAAAAGCCATCGTCGCACCGGTAAGTGACGTTTTCCAGGGATGAACGGCTCAGGTTCGGGTGCTTTGGGTCGTGCAGAAACCACAGCAGGTGCTGGCGTCGGCACCTGTGTGCCCAGGAGTCCACGTTCCTGGAGTTCGCCGAGGATCCGGTCACGCACCTCGCGTTCAATTTCTCGGCGCATATTCGCCACAAATTCGTTCCAGAGTTCCGGCGTCATATCAGACGGTCCGGCCATAGGGTCTAGAATATGGCGGGAGCGTGCGAAATAACTAACCAGGCTCTGATTACTAGTGAAACGTTGCTGGCAGGGAAGTAGCAGCCTTAGTAGGCTAGGAAAACGAGGATAGAGTGCTCTCTGGAGTTCTCTGGAAATTGCACTATGACTTCACAAATTTCACAGTACAATTTTATAGAGCACATTCAAATATCGAGTCGCACTCCCAAGTCGCGACTCTCTCTGAATTTCTCAATGGTAACCCAACCCCTTTGAAATGAACCTGCCGTGAAATTCAGAGAATTATTGCGGTACGGGATTGGACGGTGAGCTTGGTTACGGGGCTGTAATTTCGTCGGTGTTGTTGGCGAAGTCGGCAAGCGGTCGGAACTTCGGTGTTCTGCGTTTTGTAATTTTCGCGCGAGGGTTTGTGTTGGGTTGCGCGTCAGGACCTGGTCGCTCAGCTGCAGGTTGAGGCGTTTGACCAATACGAACAGTTGGTGAGGTGGCGCTTGACTTCCGCCCACCTGCAGTGTACTTGGCAGCATTCGGCTGCCACACTGTTACAAGCAGCAGCAGCAGCAGCAGCAGCAGTGGCAGCAGTGGCGGCAGCAGTGGCGGCAGCAGCAGCAACAGAAGCTGAGGGAGTGAGACTTGATACTCCAAGTCAGGAGGACAGGAGGGCCTGTGCTCTTTCGCTCAAAACAACCTGATTCCAATGCGGATCGGTTGATAAATCTGGATGCTGTTCAGTTGATAAATTTGGATGTAGATCGATTGATACATCTTGATAATGCTCTGCCAGTTGGACTGGACATTGCACGTGAGAAGTCAGAAACCTTGAAAGTTCTGCCTGTGCTCGTGCCTGCTGTTGCTGCTGCGCTTGTTGCTGTGACTGCTGTCGCGCCTGCTGTTCTGCTCGCTCTTCCTGCCTTTGCCTTTGCTGCTGATCCAGTTGCCTCAGGAGCAGCTGCTGCCTCCGTTGCTGTGCCTCTTGCTGTGCATGCTGCTGTGCTGCTTCTTGCTCCTCCTGCCGCTGCCTTGCCTGTTGCAGAAGCAGCAGCTGCTGTGAGGGTGATTGTGCCGCCTCTTGTCGTACCTGTTGCTGTTCTGCTTCTCGCTCCTCCTGCCTCTGTTTTACTCGCTGCTCCAAACCCAGTTGCTGCTGCTGCGGCTGCTGCTTCTGAATCTGCAGCCTTTTACTCTTCTCTTGCTTAGCTTGCTGCAATAAAGCTTGCTGCTGCAACAAAGCTTGCTGCAACAAAGTTTGCTGCAACAAAGCTTGCTGCTCAACTTGCTGCAACAATGCTTGCTGCAACAAAGCTTGCTGCAACAAAGCTTGCTGCCCAGCTTGCTGCAACAAAGCTTGCTGCTCAGCTGGCTGCAACAAAGCTTGCTTCAACAAGCCTTGCTGGAACAAGCCTTGCGGCTGGTGCTGCTGCTGCTTCTGCAGCTGCAACTAGTATTGTTGCTGCTGTAGAGGATCCATCCAGTAACTCTGCTGCTGCGACTGCTGTTGCTGGGTTTGCTGACGGACCTGCTGTAGCAAAGCCTGTTGGTGTTGTTGCTGCTGCTGATGCTGCTGCTGCTGATGCTGCAGCAGCAGCTGCTGCAGCCCCAGTTGCCGCAGGAGAGCCAGTTGATATCGCTCCTGCAGATGAGACAATTCAGCAGCATCAGCGGCAGTATCTGTCATTGCAACGCCTCTGCTCCCCATGTCCGTAAACAAGACTGTACCCACGACTGAAGCTTCACCTGCTTCCTTAGTGTTGGTCTCTGTTATTGTAACGCCTGCTCCCAAACCCTGTGCTATCTCTTCCCATGTCTGTCCCCAAGCCTTTCCCCAAGCCTGTCCCCATGCCTGTTCCCATGCCTGTCCCCATGCCTGTCCCCATGCCTGTTCCCATGCCTCTCCCCATGCCTGTTCCCACGCCTGCCTCCATGCCTGTCCCCATACCTATACCCATGCCTGTACCCATGCCTGTACCCATGCCTGTACCCATGCCTGTACCCATGCCTGTTCCCATGCCTGTCCCCATGCCTGTCCCTATTCCTGTTCCAAGGCCTGTCCCCATGCCTGTTCCCACGCTTGCCTCCATGCCTGTCCCCATACCTGTACCCATGCTTGTACCCATGCCTGTACCCATGCCTGTACCCATGCCTGTTCCCATGCCTGTCCCCATGCCTGTCCCCATGCCTGTTCCCATGCCTGTCCCCATGCCTGTACCCATGCCTGTACCCATGCCTGTACCCATGCCTGTTCCCATGCCTGTCCCCATGCCTGTCCCCATGCCTGTTCCCATGCCTGTCCCCATGCCTGTTCCCACGCCTACCTCCATGCCTGTCCCCATACCTGTACCCATTACTGTACCCATGCCTGTACCCATGCCTACTCCCATCTCTTCATCCATCCCCATACCCCCCCTCATGGCCACTCTTCTATCTTCGTCATCCCTCCTCTCTTCTCCATCACAACTTGTCTCATCCGTTCTCTCTTCATCCTCTCTAGAGGCACCACTACCCTCTATACGCTCTGCCTTGCCTTCTGCTCCCCTTTTTTTTTTCCTCCCTTCCCCCTCCCTTTTCCTCTCTTCCCCTTCCCTTGTCCTCCCTTCCCCCTCTTTTCTGCTGTCTTCCCTCTCCCTTATCCCCCCTTCTCCCACCCATCTCCTCCCCTCTCCTTCCCCTTCCCTTATTCTCCCCCACTCTTCCCCGCATCCTTCCTTCTCCTGCTCTTCTCCTTCCCCTACCCATATCCTTACTTGTCCTGCGTTTAGCCCATCTCCCCTTTGGGTTATACAGTCTTCGTCTGACTGGGATCCAAACAAATTCAGCAGACGAGGAGAAGGAACGCTTATGTGTACCGAGTATGATCCTAGCACTGCTGGTACCGTCTGGGACTGTAACGAGCGACCTTGTACCGGGGGGTTAACTGTAGCAGGAGAAGCGCCACATAAAGAGTTGGGAATTGAACCACGTGCAGGACTGGGCAGCAGCAATAATTGTGTCTCCAAAAGAAGCCGCCCGGATCCAGAAGTCGCCTCGCTGCCTGGAGGAACCTCAGTCTTTGCCGCCCAGCACCTGGAGCCGACGCCTGCTGACATGGCAACGACAGGTGATGACGCGACCTGGCGTGTGTCAAGGAGAGGGAAAGCAGTTGGAAGAGGGGGAAAGGGTGGAGGAGGAGGAGGAGGAGGAGGAGGAGGAGGAGGAGGAGGAGGAGGAGGATGAGGAGGAGGAGGAGGAGGAGGAGGAGGAGGAGGAGGAGGAGGAGGAGGAGGAGGAGGAGGAGGAGGAGGAGGAGGAGGAGGCTAGCTGAAATGGCTTGAGTTTTGGGTTGTTTTCGTTCTCAGGATAAACTCAGGGAAATGGAGGAGACGGAAAGGAGGAGCCCCTGGGGAAGGGAGAATTGGGGAAGGGAGGATTGGAAAAGGGAGGAGGAATGGGGAAGGATGGAGAGAGACCGCCGAGCGAATGGTGGAGAGGGAGGAGGAGGAGGAGGAAAGCCATCCCGCTTGCTCCGGTAAAGGCAGCTCCGAAGGCAAGAGGGCCTCCCAGTGGCCCCGGGGCGGATGCAGAGAGCGTTTGGAAGGGGAGAATCGGCGGATTCCGCAAAAAGCTCCCCCAGGCTGGCCCGGTGGCAGAAGCTGCGCCTGCGGCGCCCGCGGCGGCGGCAGCGGCAGAGGCGGCGGAGGAGGCGGCAGTGTCCAGGGTGGGGTTTACGGAGAAGAGCGCCGACTGTGCGGCGGCGCTTGCGAAGGCGATGGCGGCGGCAGCGCGAGCGCCAGCCGCTTGGCTCCACTGCTGCGGCGGCGCCGCCGGATTCCGCGCCGCCGCCGGCGCTGGAGGCGGTTGCGCATGGGATCGGCGGTGTTGATGTGATGATGGTGATGATGGTGAAGGGATCACCATTTGGGATCACTAAGGTTCAGAAGGTGGTGCAATCAAGAATTTAGAGCAGTTCCTGTCATGCAGAAGCTCCCGCCGCGGCGCTTGCTGATATCAGCAACGAAATGCAGAGAGTTACGTTCGTTGCGTGACGTCGTCACGGTGAGAAATGACGCGGCGCTGACAAAAACGACTCGATTTTTTAAAATTGAAACACATAACCACCAGGGTTGGGTTTTTGTTTCCGGGGCGTTCAAAAGTTGCGGAAAAGTTGTTGAGCCTTGGACTTTTGCGATGAGTCGCTACTCTTCGGAACATTTGGATTCCAGATCAAGCCATCCCTGATGATGATTCGAAAATGGTCTCCATCCTCGGAGTAACTCCCTCGAAAATAGTCTCTCAGCCTGAAATACTAACTTCAGTGCTCACCCCGGGAATGAATGTTTTTGGCAGCAATCAGAGTCCCTCGCATCGATGCAGCCTCGGGCTAGATGCAGCCTTCTGCTCCGAATCCAGTTGCTGGTAAGGGACGACTCACGAATCCCCGCAGGACAGCCGCAATCGAAGAACTAGCGGAAACTTGTGGTGTCTCGAAAAACATGGCGCCTGACTGCTTGCCTCTGCTTGCCTCTGGTGGTCTTGCTGCTCCTGCCATATTCTGCAAGAGTGTGAATGTGCTGCGGGAACTGCCAACCATATGGTACTACGTGTCAAATCATAATGTTCTGTAGGCTGTAGTGGGGTAGCCTATATGGGGTACACATTTCTAGAGTTGCACATTTGTACCACATTCCATTCCTTAGTGCATTCATTCTTGTTTCAGTTTTCTCATGGTATCGAGCAGGTTCCCTCGTGGGAACTGTGCCTAGGGCCCACCAAGTCGAAAGTTTTTTTTCCTGCCCGGAGCGCGCTCAGCCCGAGTCAGCGCTCCCTTCTCTGACTTCGTCAAGCCGCCCTAGCGGCCAAGTCGCGCCGCCTTAGCGGCCCCTGATTCGTCGCCCTAGCGACCCCGTCGCCCTACCTACGGCCCCGGCCCCGTCGCCCTAGCTGCGCCTCGGCCCCGTCGCCCTAGCTGCGCCCCGGCCCCGTCGCCCTACCTGCGCCCCGGCCCCGTCGCCCTACCTGCGCCCCGGCCCCGTCGCCCTATGTCAGAGGTCCACTGGTGATCCCCGATTGATCCTAAGGAAGGGTTACAGGCATGTTGGCCTGGGGGGTTATGGGCGCACTGACCCGCTACTTAACAAGCCCTTTTATCCCAATGGTCTAGTGGTTGGGATTCTGACATGGTATCAGAGCGAAGGTCTCGGGTTCGAATCCCAGTGTATGCACTTCGGGCATCCCAGTGCGGGGGGGTGTCAGAGGTCCACTGGTGATCCCCGATTGATCCTAGGGAAGGGTTACAGGCATGTTGGCCTGGGGGGTTATGGGCGCACTGACCCGCTACTTAACAAGCCCTTTTATCCCAATGGTCTAGTGGTTGGGATTCTGACACCCTACCTGCGACCCCGGCCCCGTCGCCCCCCTTGCGACCCTGGCCCCGTCGCCATACCTGCGGCCCCGGCCCTAGCCCCGTCGCCCTACCTGCGCCCCGGCCCCGGCCCCGTCGCCCTACCTGCGTACCGGCCCCGTCGCCCTACCTTCGACCCGGCCCCGTCGCCCTACCTACGGCCCCGCCCCGCCGCCCTACCTGCGGCCCAGCCGCCCTACCTGCGGCCCCGCCGCCCTACCTGCGGTCCAGCCGCCCTACCTGCGGCCCAGCCGCCCTACCTGCGGCCCAGCCGCCCTACCTACGGCCCCGCCGCCCTACCTGCGGCCCCGCCGCCCCACCTGCGGCCCCGCCGCCCTACCAACGGCCCCGCCGCCCTACCTGCGGCCCCGGCGCACTACCTGCGGTCCCGGCCTCGTCCCCTACCGCCCGAACCGCCTAAGCAGCCGAGCTGCCCGCGCCGCTAAGCAGCCCGAGCCGCCCGTTCCACCCGAGCCGCCCGAGCCGCCCGAGCCACCCGAGCCGCCCGAGCCGCCCGAGCCGCCCGAGCCGCCTGAGCAGCTGAGGAGCCGAGCCGCGGGTGCCGCCCAGCCGCAGTTGCTGCCGAGCCGCCCGAGCTGCCCGAACCGCCCTGTCTGGTGAGTGCAGCGCCTCTGTCACTACACTGCCCCTGCTCTACAGTTAGCGCTGCTAGTCTACTGCTGTCATGGCTACCCCCAGTGTTCTCACTTTTGACGCTGAGGGTCGGGCCATTGACTTTGACGTCTGGGTAGATGACCTGCAGCTTTTCCTACAGTGCGATAGGGCAGACGGTCTCTCCCTCTTTGACCTCACATCTGGTGCTTCCCCTGCCCCTGCTGCCGATGGCGACGCCACTGTTCGCTCACAGTGGGCCACTCGCGATGCTGCTGCACGTCTTGCTGCGCGTCGCCACCTGCCTACCACTGAGCGCGCGCACTTTAGTCAGTACAAGAGTGCTCAGACCTTGTACGATGCTGTAGTTGCGCGCTACTCTTCCCCTGCCGCTGCTGCACTGAGCCGCCTCATGCTACCGTACCTCTTCCCTGACCTTGCTGCCTTTCCCACAGTTGCTGACCTCATTACGCACCTCCGCACTAGTGACACTCGCTACTGCGCTGCGCTTCCTGCTGAGTTCTGCGCCAGGAACCCCCCCCCCCCATGTACATCACTCTCTACTACATAGTCACCCGCCTCCCTGACTCCCTTCGTGTAGTCAGAGACCACTTCCTCTCAGTCTGTCCCACCACTCTCACTGTTGACCTCCTCGAGAAGGCCCTCTTAGGAGCGGAGAAGAGCATAGTCGCTGTAGGAGCCTCTCGTGGTGACCCTCGCACCCCCATCTTTGAGGGGTGTTCCCCCTCCCCCCTTTTGCCCTTTGTCGCCTCTGCTGCTGCGACCGACCTCGTTGGTCTTGAGTCGGTCAGTGCGGCGTCTACCCCCAGCGGGAGACGCCGCTCTGGCAAGGGCAAGGGGGGCAGGGGCGCTGGAGGAGCTAGCAGGGGTGGTGGAGGCGGCGGAGGGAGTGGGGGTGGCGGTGGGAGTGGTGGCGGGGGTGGAGGTGTCGGTGGCGGCAGTGGAGGCGGAGGCGGCGGAGGCGGTAGCGGTGGGAGCGGAGGCGGCGGTGGTGGCGGAGGTGGAGGAGGTGGAGCTGGTCGGTGTGGCGCTACGCAGCGGGGCGGCTCCGGTGGTGGTCAGCGCCAGCAGCAGCAGCAGCAGCGTTCTCGGGACATCCCCCCCTCTCAGCAGCTCCGTGAGTTGTATGCTGCACGTCAGCGTGGTGGGGGTACCGGTCCGTGCACCTACGTCCTACGCACCAGCGACCGCGCGGGTGAGCAGTGTGGGGGTGCACACCCCACCCAACGCTGCTTTGGCCGCCTGACGGACGCTTGGCGTCACCTAGTTCCCGGAGGCCACTGAGATCCCCCGCTGGGGTGAGCTGTCTAGGGCGGGTGTAGCTATCTTTGATCTTGACTTTGATGCTATTCTTGCTGCCATGTATGCTGTGACTATTAGTGATGAGGGTGACTGTTACCGGTGTTTCCCGCCCGGCCCGGGCATTGAGACTGCTGCTCTAGTTACTGGTGAGGCTGCTGCTCTAGGTGCCAGTGAGGCTGCTGCTCTAGGTGCCAGTGCGTCTGCGTCCTCAGGTGCTGGTGAGTCTGCGCTCTCAGGTACCGCGTCGGCTTCGACCTCCCTCACCTGCACACTTGACTCAGGGGCTTCTCGCTCCTTCTTTCGAGACCGCACCACACTCACGCCGCTTGGTCGGCCGGTTGCAGTCTCCCTAGGCAGACCCCTCTGGGGGTCCTGTCCTTTCTCACTTCTCCACTGTCCTCCCATGTCTAGCGGCCCCCTCTGGCACCTTGTCTGGTCTTTACCTCCCCTCGTTCTCTACGAACCTGGTGAGTGGTGCTGACCTACAGGATGCGGGGGTTCACCAGTTTACTCCTGCGAGTCAGCGGGTGACCCACTGCTTGGACGCTCGCACAGGCCAACACCTGGCCACGTTTACGCGTCGGCCGGGGTCGAGCCTGTACACCCTGACCACTGAGTCTCCTCCTGTCCCTGCGTCTGGTCATGTAGCTGCGTCGGGTCAGGTGTTTGCTGCAGCGTCCAGGTCTGGTCCTGAGTCTGCCCCCTGCTCGTGTCGCCTCCTGTCTCACGAGACTCTCCTCTGGCACCACCGCCTTGGTCACCCCTCCCTGCCTCGTCTCCGAGGCATGGCCTCCCGTGTCCTTGTCTCTGGTCTTCCCCGGTCCCTCCCTCCCCTTCCTCCGGGGCCTGGCCCTACCTGCGTCCCCTGTGTCGAGGAGCGGCTGCGGGCTGCCCCTCACTCCTCTCAGTTTCCCCCGACAGAGGCCCCGCTGCAGACGCTTCACATGGACGTGTGCGGCCCGGCCCGCGTCCGTGGACAGGGTCACGAG